GATCCAAAGCCATCTGACCAGTCCTCCTGCGTAAGCGAAAGTTTACCCCACTCTCCTGTATGGAGTTAGTTATAAAATCTTCATCAGAAGAATGAAATGACTCATCATCTCCTGTGAAATGGTTGACAATGTGGATCCCATCAAAAGTGGGTTGGTCTGAGAAGTCTCTCTGTCCTTTTAAGCATTTGATCTGTTAAAAAAAAAAACAAAAAAAAAACAACAACCAAACAAGTGGGATTTAAGGTAATCAGAGCTAAAGAGTCCAGCAGCAAAATCAAAACAAAACCACTCACTTCCAATAATCTCTCCTCAACTAATTTAACTTAGATGTAGAATATTTCCTAATGACTTCTGGAAGCTGAACAAAATGACTTCTCATTTCTGGCTGTCCCGAGAACTTGAAAGAATGCCCCAAAGAGCACTTTAAATGCTCCAAAATTCTTCTCGCACACCCGGGCTATTTCAGTTTTAAAGCTTAATAATCAAGGTACCCAGAATCACAAGTGACAGATTTCTCCAAGCTACTCACTGCATCTTTAGCATCCCCACGAGAATGGCTGATTGTTAGTTTTCTAGAGTGCACAACTCATTTGGACAGCACTTTTGGCCTTCACATCTTATACCTTTGAAGTTCCATCCTTTCCCCATCACTGATTTCTCAACTTGAGAAAAGCCCTCCCCTACTCCTAAGCAGAAGGATCCACATGTAGTATTGTTAGTTTCATACAGCCACAGAAAAAAAGCACGCAGCAAACACACTCAGTTCTGTCTACACTGCAAGATTAAGCAGCCTTTCATTATCTAGTTCAGAGCTGGTGATACTTCAAGACAACAAGAGAAACTTCCCCATACAACACAAATAGATCATAATTTCAATTTTAAGAAACCAAACAAGAAAAAAGATTCTCAGGCTGTGGCCAGATATAATAACTAGCTCAAAATGCAACCTGGAGTTATAAGGTACTTAACCACGTATTCAACCATGTTTCTGAATGTAAAACCTGAAGCTCTGGCAAATCCCCTGTTCATTAAGTCAAAATAACCATGGCCCCCAGAACATTTTCCTGAGATAGTTTTTCTTTAGAATTTCACTTGTCCTAACTTTTAGTGCCAATTGTCTCAGAGTCAATACTTAGCAACTGTTAAATATTATGATAAGAATCCTAAGGAATTAGAAAGACGTTGAAATGCATTACAGAAACTTCCTAATGTCATTCTTGTCTGCTTAAAAAGGAGGATGCATCAAGTGCTATTTTGTAAGCAACTCTTAACAGTGTCAGATCTGGAAAGTAGAGAGAAAAAGCCTGAGAAGCTACTTGCATCACAAACCTATTCCATGTTTCAGAAATTTGAAGTGATATTCAGCTTGATAAATAAGAGCAGCATGCAGGTCCTTGCTGTTTATGTCAGTAACAGATTTTACCTGTTCTTTTGGGGAAGAAGGAATTTCGATATTCACACGGGGCTTATGCAAGAAATACAAGTAAAACCGTTTGGAAAAAAGGTTGCAAGAATCTCAATCATTCTAGAAGCCTCAAATCAAACGTAAATGGTATGTAAAAGCTCCATATATCTGATCACTCCGATGTTTATCAGAATGCTCCTGTTAGGAACATAGGCTCATACTGCAGACCTAAAACTTGGAGGCAACTATGTATACTAACTAGTATTGGAATGTTCTTGTACACTTAAGTTGCAGTAGTTTCACAAGGAACTCACTTTTTTAAAGACTTGCTTAAAGTTCATCTGAACTGTAAAGGTGATATTCAACGTCTGTTGAACTCTGAGAGCCAAGCCAGTGACCTTGAATGCTTTCCTGAACCCTTCAGCGTGCGATGCCTCTAGATAAACCTTTTGATGAACACCTTTAGGGAACGTGACAAAAATCACAGCTTAGCAGTTTCAAGCAGTAGCCTTCCCTAACACCAAGTGTAAGTCTAAGAAAAAGGCTCCCTAAGGAGAAAATAGTATTACTGGTTATGCAAAATCCTGAAGAGTGTGGGAAAAACTGTAACATGTATTCTCTCATTAAGGCAACAAAAAGACAATCTGTTGCCCTCTAGAAACACTTCTTTTGGTGTGCAGCTTTACCCTTGCCTGCCTTCTTGTTCAACTACTCACATTCAAAAGGAATTATATTGCTAGGAAGAAACATGAATATACTGCAAAGAATGTGCAAGAAGACTGTGCACTCATATAGTCCTGCAACATCCGTCTGCTTGAAAAATGACTTGCACAGTGAAATACAGAAACACTGTAGCACAGAATTTGTATCATGGGGACAACACTAACTCTGAATAAGATTTTGTGGGAGCCTTGATACGTGATAGGCTTGGAGACAGCAGTATCTCCAAGCAGCTCCAAGGTTAACAGCACAGTACACTGCATGGACAAAAGCATAGCCAGTACGTTACGGGTTCTTACTTCATCTGGTACCCAGACTGCACACGACTTTGCATTCGTTACCTCAACTGTTCATCAGTACAGGAAGCTGATGAAAAGATTCACTGGACATCATCAAAAAGTTAAAAGGCGGAAGCTCAAGCCATAAGATGACTAAAAATTGTGCTCTTCACTGAAACGTACAATGGGAGAAGACGATGATTATAACACAGAACAGAAGGATGTCTGAATACGAAGGGACAATAATTACTGTAAGGCTAATTAAGAATTAGAGTAGGTTGCTGAGAGACTGAGCATCTCCATCCTCTGTGGTTTTCAGCAACCGCATGACAAAGTCCTGAGCAACCTGTTCTGAAATCATTGGCCAACACTGTTCTGAGCAGCTGGTTAAGCAGACTCCAGCGTCCCTTCCAGCTTGGAAAGATCCAGTTCAGCCATGTGTAAAAACAAAACAAAACAAAACACCGTGATACTTGTAAAAAAAATCACCACACTTGTTGAAGTGTGCATGCTGTCATTCACAGAGATTTCTAACTGTAAAACAGAAGTAACGTGCTGTTGATACATAGGGTTTTGTGATAGTGCACCATAGTTAGAAAACAATGAAAATTTAACTGAAATACAGATTTAAGACTTGCATCTTAAATTCTTTCAAATATGAATGTTAATAAAATGAGACACTGGAATCTTCAAGAAATTAAAAGCATCCAACAGATGAGGGTGAAGACCTTCACACGACTTTCAGTTTTAAGTACTTTCAGAATGGAATGTGTTTCAAGGGCACCTCAATCTAACATTTATTTAGGCACGTTTCTGAAATAAACCTATTATCTGTAGCATTTGCTGCAGTAGGAGGGCTTGGGAAGGCTTCTCAAAGCGTTTGGAGCAACTTGTAGACAGTATGCATTCCAAAGTAATAGATGCTAACTAGTATCAGTTAGAAGTTATCATCAGATGTTTTTTCACCTTTTACTAAACAACTCAGTCAGGATCCTGAAGTCCTGATCACAATTCTTTCCTTTGCCTTACCTACAAAATCAATGAGTCCCATCTATTTTAGCCTTTCCTCATGAAGCAGCAGCACTCACACAATCACAGACGTGTAAGGGCTGGAAGAGACTACTGGGGATGCTCTAGTCCAATCCCCCCGGTTCCCTACAGCCAGTTACATTCCAAACCACTGATTTGAATTGCTCCTTAACTTCCTTCCAGCCTTTCCTTAACTTCTCTACATCCAGCTTGTGGGACAGGGAGTATCCTTGCACTAAAGTTTTGTAGTGGCAATAAAGTGGTATTTCTTTTCTTTTTAATATTCTGCCTCTTGATTCCCAACATCATTTTGTTGGTTCTTGTTGCTGTCATACACTGAACCAGTGATACTATAGGAGTCTCAGTAATAACTATAAAATACTTTTCCTGAATTGTAAATAGCCACTCCATGTTTGCTACTATGCAGGCATAGCTTAAGATTTTCCAGTTGATAAATCACTTTTTTTTTGTTCACTGAGTTTTGAGTGACTTCTTGAGATCTCTACCATTAGCGTATTATTTGAACATAGAAAAAGTTTAACATAGTAAAGGTCACATCAAGATGTTATTAACGTAGCAAAACATTGCATCAATGTATTTGGAAGTCTAATTAAGGACTCAAGGGGAAAAAAAACACCTAGTTTTACTGCTATTCTTATCATTTCATCTGAAGAAAAACAACAGCTTTTTTTCTTGCAGCCATGTTGAACATAATATGCACTTACAGCCTGGGTGCACACTCAGATCTGTCACTTATGTTCTCTTTTGTAAAGACAGCCAGTGCCACTTTATCCTTTCAGTCCTAGGTCTGACTCTACTTCTCATGAAGGGAACTAGACACGTCTCACCCCAATTCAGATGAATTTTGGTCGTTTCTACTGCTTCAGTTTTGCAACAACCTCAAATCTCATACAGTCTGTAAAACTAGGCCTGGTAAACCCGCAGGTCTTGCTTTAATTCTCAAATTCAGGTCACATCGTCTAGATGACTGCAGCTTTTGGCCAGTTTTCACTATAACACATGAATACGATCTTCGGAATATTTCAAGGAGTTAACAAAAATATGCAACTAAAATATACTGAACTGTTATTCCTTCAAAAGCCATTTGATTCCAAAACACAACTGTCACAAGTAAATGACTTAATATTCACATGTACACATCTTTTTGGGCTTAAAAGATTCAGCATTCTAAAGAGAATCTGCATGTCCTGTTGGTCAACATATTAAAAGACTCATAAATAATGGGGTACTTCCACAAGTACAAAAAAGAAAAAAAATCTGTCAGTATTAGCAATCAGATGCTTGAACCCCAATAAACTTTCTTACCTGATGCTGACTGCCTCATCGAGCCAGGCATAAGGGAGAGATAGTAAAGAGAAATTCAGACGTTTTAGTACAAGACATAATTTCTTAAATGTTAAATGAAAGGTGATTATCAAAAACTTAACTCGCTTGCAGCTAAGTCCCTTTGTTTTTTTAAATATAACTGGTAAGTTGAGGCTTTTACAATTAGAAGTTCTACTTAAACCCTAGGAAATGTTTTCGCTTAACCCCTGAGATTTTCTGTGTTGTTGTTTTTGTTTTTTTTTTTTAAAGCTTGGAATTCATAGATGGAAAGAAGTTGACGCTATTTCCTTTAAGAGGCTTCAGTCATCATTCTTGAGATTTATCCAATTCTGAAAAAATCAAGGATTCTAAGAACGCCTGTCAGTACAAATTGAATCTACTCACAACAAGGTACGTAAGCGATACACAAATTAGATCAGAATATATATATATAAAAACACAACCACTCATGTGGGTGTTACAAAGCTGTTACTGGCAAGAGACGTAAGTTAAGTTTGTTGCACTCCAGTCCAATGCACACTCTAGCATATTGCTGTTTCTTTTTAAGACTCCCAGCAACTTTCTTTGGAAAAATGCTCATTTAAAAAAAAATGAAGCAGTCACAGCTTTTCAGAATGAACAAATGGGAAGTGTAACTTGAGAGACAAATATCAGTATTATGTCTAGTTGACATAATGTTGAAGCATTTCTACATGTACACACAAAAAGAACAAACAATGTTAACAAGCATTTTCACACTACATTTTCGCTTCCACGAACACAAGCATCTCCTTTAGACATCTCATGCCTTCTGAAACCCATTTTTAAATATGAGTTTGTACATCCACAGTGAACCACAATGGTTTCAGAGTGAAACCATTGCTACATGAACTCTGCACAAACGGAGAAAACATGAGCTAAACTAAACAGATGCAGAAACTAATATTAGCAATCCTTCATTTAAAAGGATTCTGAGCAAGTTAAATGGCTGTACAGCTACAATGCAAATGCTGGTTGTAAAGTTCCCCAATAAAATCAACTTCCTTATACAAGGACTGCTTGCTATGCACTGCAACAGAACTGCATCAGAGCATGTTAATGAAAGCTTGTAATTATTGCTCTCTGAAAACTCAGATTTAAGAAAAGCAGAACAACATCATGCAATGAACAGGTTAACGTAAAAAATGTATATCTGAAAGGCATCCTTCATTTTCCTCAGTTATGATGCAGTTTATATGAGGATCATATGCGAAAAGCAGGAGTTTTGGTTTTTTGAGACCTTCCTGATAACTTGCACAACCTTCAAGCAAACAAACACGTAAAACATTCAGCAATGTATATCACATCAGGCTTTCTTTGTGTTAGAAACAAGACAACAGTTGCTAACAATTTTTAAAATAAACGTAAAATATTTGCTAAACTAGAATTGCACTGTCAGTATAACCAAGACCAGACTCAAGGTTGTGGCTTTTATTTCAGCACCAGTGAATTTCCTGTTTCACATTACTGAACATTAAACTTGTTTGCTGTTGTTGTTTGTTTTTGTCCATCACCCCTCCCCACCCCCGCCTACCCCAAAGCCATTGCTATAAACACAGCTACCAGCAATGTCAGACATAAGGGTCATTCCTGGAAATTACTGATGATTCAAGAAGCCCAAACCAACCAGGATAGATGCCAAATCCAGGAACTCCCATTTACTCTGCTTACTCAAGTTCACCTGATCATTGCTGTTTTTCCTGAGGGAGAGGCCTTAATAACATGGACTCATTGTTTAGAAGAGCAACAGTTGAGAAGGACCTGTATGGGATTCTGTTTAGTGAGATCCATACGAAAAGTTACGGAAATGGTCATCCTTGCATCTCTTACAAAAGCCATTTTGGATTCTCCACTGCTCCATCTACCACTAGACTTAGAAAATGAAGCAGAAAAGAGTACATTCTGCAGACCACAAAAGATTTGTGAGAAATACACAAAACCAAGACAAAAAAATGAAAAGAAAGAAGTGAAATTGTTTTTTCTTTCACTTTGAGGCAGATATGGAGATCTGCACAGATATTCTTAGCAGAGGAATTCAGGAAATTGGTTACATCTTCATGTTTTCAGACAGCTTTTATTTGAAGTATTATGACTTAAGCTATTGAGACTATTCCAGAACAATTTGGAGTTTTAACGATTTACTGAAGTTCCACTTCAGCTTGAGCTACAACGTACCAATTTTGAGATGGACACGACAGACAAATATGTTTGTAAGTAAGTAGTATTACTAAGATGCCATATTTACTTCCTCTGAGATTTAATTTCACATTATTAAAAAAAAAAAAACTAATGAAAATTAGGAAATTGTTGAGATTTTGTTGAAATGCAAGCCCTTCAATATGCTCAGCATTGCTGAAGAGACACAAACAGAAACATGAGTGAATGCATTTGAAAAGTGTTTGCAAAACTATTTCAAGAAAATTTTAATACAGAATTTTAATACATGGACAAAAACCCCATTATAAAGTCAGTCTGAAGTGCAGAGGTGAGGGCTTCCATATAAATTTGGGTTCTAGCAGATTGAAATAACCATAACATAGCTTTAGCATTTATATTTTCCTTTTCTCCATACTCTCAAAAGCCGTGTTTGCAAGGCAGTACAAAACAGGAGTATTCAATAAATGAACAGCATAGGAGTTTAGCCAGTCTCTCTGAAATCATGGTGTTAGCCAGACACTGCAGGAGAATCTTAAACCATGCCCAAGAACACTCAGGACTGTCTGGGACTCAGCACATTTGCCTAACTGAGACAGAGTTTGATGTGATTAAAATAGGAAGTCTACAAAATTCACAATGGACATCAAAAGTTAGTGATAGTTTGGTATTTTATTGTGGGCCCAAACAGGGGCAATAGCATAATTTACCAGAAAGGACATGGGCTGCTTTTTTGGTTGTACAAATATGGCTGCTGTTCTTGAAAGACAAAAGCCCAAAGATTTTTTTTTTCCTAGATTAATCCAGACAACTTGAATTCTAAGTTCATTATGTGATTAACTAACAAAATTATCCTGTTAAAACAGTTATTTTCAGGTCACCCTTTAACAAAAACAAAAGGGTTAAAAACAATTTGTGTGCCAATATGTTTGTATTTACCACAAATTAATTTTGCTGACCATATTACTTGACAGAATTTAAGCCACTGCTTAATGTGTCACAAGTGCAAAGCGAAACAGCAGCAAGAAATTTCCAAGACTTAGCCATTCCATGCTTTTAAAGATATATTCTCTTATAGTGCTTAATATGTGGACTGTTTTAAATTGCTAGCTTCTGTGAATATGTTGTTTCACTGTAGTGTAGAAGGCTTGATAAAAACCCTACAGATACCAACAAGTTGAATAAACTATGAGGTAGCTTTAATGCATTAAAGCTCAATGCTAGTTGTTTCAATGTGCATTCCACATTGCTCTATGAGTGCACATTTTCTGCCTTGTTTAAAATAAAAGACATTTTCAGTACTTTAATTAAGGAGCTCTAGATTCAAAAGGAAATATGGTAAATGTATGTTGTATAGCAGTTTTAGTAAAGACAGTATTGCTGTGTTGCAAACGTGACAAAGATTAGAACTAGCAACAAGCATACAGACCAGAAGGTTTCCAGTGAATCAGAACAGGAAACCAATAAACCGATCAATGGGAGGTCATGACTTTTTGATCACTGCACTATATGGTTAAAGACTGTTTTTGATCTACAGCCACGTAATCAAATTAACCTTTGAAATTCTGTATCAAGTATGAAATAAAAAACAGTGCTAAGAAAGCACTCAACTTTTAAACTATGTATATTTAAAATTTAAAAAAAAAAAAAAAAAAAAATCAGTCTCTGGTAACTAAGTCATGTTCTGACTGTTGAGGGAGATCTTGACAAATTTGTTGTAATGAGATCATATGCAATTCCAAAAAGTTCTAAGCTACGTTAGCCTTGGGAAGTTTCTATAAGTAGCTAGTTGGTAGGTGGAAGGAAAGTTCCCAGAAACTCTTCCCACGAGAAGTTCTAATGAAAGTGTTTATTTGGAGGACATGGCAACAAAAACATTTTAAAACAGCAGCATGATCACATTGAATGTACTGTGATTATCATAGACCCAAGGAGCTGCCTAAATCTCACTGCTCCTTCTCCCTAGAGCACGTGTCTATAAATAGAAAAATGACCGAAACCTCAGGCGCTGGCTGGAGCACAACTGGCTGATGCAGAGACTGAAAACGTACCCATAATGCACACAGTTACAGGAAATGATCATTTCGCACTTTCGCTCTATTCTTTTAAAACAGGGAGTTAACCTCAGCATTTTCAAGCAGACAAAGTAACATTTATTTTTGCCTGATACCTGAAATTACTTCTATCTGTGCTGCCTGCCTTTCAGAGAACAATAACCATTTCAGAAGGGTAGAAACATGCTAACACACAGCATTCTTCTCCTGAGCTATTTCTCAAGTAGGAAATAGATGGCACCTGTGCACGGTGGCTGACAATTTCTTCCAAGGAGCAATTATAAGTTCAAACCAGTACTTCTCCCACTTCTGAATTCCTAACAGAACTTTTATAAGCAGAAACACATGACAGATCCTGACAAAGCTCTATGTAATACAGTAGACAGGTCACACAGCTTAAAAGCAACAACAAAATGACTAAGGGGAATTATTGTCTCAATAGTAAAATAATATTACTTATGATCAGTTTACTTCCTTTGACAACCCAGGTAAACACCAAACAGGGACTCTGTATAGTTCAGTGTAGGTAGATGCACTCACTTCTATTACTGCAATCAGTAACTAGTGTATTTCTCCACAAGACAGATCTGGAGCTTAGATGCAGCAGGATACAATCAGAAAAGAGAACACATAAAAGGGAAATGTTCCTACAATCACCAAACTTCATTTATTTTATCATCAAATCTAATCTGCCATAGTGGCAGTGAAAGCTAAGATTTGTATCTAAAACTGTTGCCCTCATCTTCTAGTCCCACCATGGTGAACAAAGTCATACCTGCCCTGAGAGGAGACTGCATCACTGTGCCTGGTTACACTGTTCATCCATCATTTTGTTGAAGGTGTTACTGAGGAGCGTGTAATTTAAAACCACTATGAAATCAATCCTACCTTTTTGGACAAGTGTAGCATGTCTGGTTTAGGCTACAAACACCTACTCAAAACTAATCAAAATAATCCACCAATTTTCACAAAATAGACACAGCAACAGTGCTTTTACTTGTTCACTGCTTAGTTTAAGCCAGACAGTTTTTAAAGCCAACTCTTTTATGAAGAACAATTAACTGGATAAAGTAATGGGACTCCATATCTGTTCAGCATCATACTTCTGTATCAATATTGGTATTATCCAGCCAGTCTAACATCTTTTGATTCTCAAGGAGAGGCTGAATTAAAGGAATAAAGCAATTCACTTTTCTAAAGCACACAGTATATATTTAACTATCCTGTGTAGACAAAGCTGCTACATTAGACTTGGAGTTCACAAACCACATGACCTCACAAACGCTATCTTATCACATCACAGGTTCCTCAGACTGACCACAACCACTTAAATCAGACTCCACCAGCACGGAGGCTCTGTATCTTTGACACGTACCAGTAGACCAACTACATTTTTAGCTGTCCAGAAGCTTTGCAAGAACTTCACTTGTGGGGAGGGAAAATCTGATGGTCTCTTGTCCAACTGTGCTTGCAAGATATGGAGGAAGAAAAGCTCTTGATTTATTGTGCTATAGACTTCTACCACAAGTTGAAATGCTTTGTAAATCTGAGGGCTAACATATTTCCTTTCAAAGACAGCATTTCTTATCAAGTAAGAAAACATTTACAGAACCACATATTTTGAAAGCATTCATCCAGTACAGCAAACTACTAGAAGGTGATACTTTGGCTCTAGGCAGTAATGAAAACTACTTTGCATAATTTAATACAGTATTTCTAGCAAGCATAGTGAAAACTATGAATTAAGAACAGTAAAAATTGACAGAAATCATAGAAATTAACTGCTTTTACAAAAGAACAAAAAAAATGACAGTCACAAAGAGCCCAATGCATATCTGCCAGTACTACATGAAAAGTAAACAGTATGCTTCTTCCAACCTTTACTGAACCTCATTATCTCCAATAGAAAGGAGAGGAAGTTGACAAGAGACTGAATAAAGTGTTATGTTCAATGTAAATAGTACTTTACATGTAATAAGACTTTCTGAGACTTCCCTATATCTAGTTCTGATAAAATTAGTTAAGTCTATTCCCAAGATCTACATGCTGATCCATTTGATCTCCACTCACTAACCCATATGATGTTACTCTACAAGTCACCACCCTATAAATGTCTTCAGTGAAGATCTTTGTTTCCAGTAGTTCAAACTAGAATTCGCTTCCTCCAGTTAATCCTTCTACATTCATTACCCAAATCTACATACAACCCATTCACAGCTATAAATACCATTTAAAGATGTGCCCACACTGCAGTGACAAATGCAGCACAGGCACATCCAAACAGAGTAGCTGAACAACAGCAGTTCAAGCACATGAGAGCGAAGTTCAGAATTGCTTTCCCTGCTTCTTGTCTAGAGGCATTTCAGATTATGGAGCATCTGATTTGCTAAGCACTAAATCTGACTCAAAGGAGAACTAGTAAGAAAATAAAGAGGAAAGACAGAATGCTCCTTGGTAGCATGCCAGAAATACAGAGGAAATAATTTGGCAGTTTTTAAACACAGCTTACTTACCATACAACTTCACAGTATTTTAAGACCAAAAGGAATTGTTAACATGGTTTGAACGCCCCTCCTGCGTATTATAACGTCAAATTTTATTTGATTGTTGTATATGTGACGTGTATGAGATTTTTCATCCTTCTTGCTGATGGCTATTGCTTACTTTCCCTTCTCCAATCTAGTTTCAGCAGTAAAAGTCTAGAAAGCTACATTAAGTTGCAAAATACAGCCTTAATTCTTAGCTTTAGCTATATTACCAATTACTCTTTTGGTCATATCTTATGCATTATCTTCAAAGTAATTACCTAAAGTGTCTTGAATTTTATCACACAAGCAAAATCTTTTAAAAGCATTGTATGTAATCTCCAACTTTTATATCTCTTTTCATTAAGGCAATCTTAAAACATAAGCTCGCCAGAAATGAGATCAGACCATGAGATAATATCTATATCAGAATCTTACTGACTGCATTAGTTTCTTACAATGTAACATCAGTTCCATCCCTAGATAAAATTACAGAAGTGGGAAAAGTCAGTAAACTACTAGTCTCTACTTTGAGAGCTCATTGAGTTTTTAAATACTAAAAAAAGGGAAGATACTTCCAAAAAATCCCCCTTTCTTCACTGTAAAGACACAAGAACTTAAATCACCATAATTTTTTTTTGAAATCATTATAGTCTTCTAAAAACTTCAAAAATTTGTTTTGGAAAATAATGCTTCAGTCATCTGTCATCTTTTCCACCAGCCCTGCTGAAATGTTGCTAATGAGAACAGCTGGCAGAGGCTTTTCTAATTTTTGAACACTAACCTTCGTAGCACAGTAACATCAGGATTCTGGTTTTCATTCCAATACAGAAAACACACAAGATTTTCTCATTATTCCCCTCAAAATATGTTGAGCAATTATTTTATAAAAAGCATCTCCTATAGAGCAGCTACCACAAAATTAGCTCCACGTACTGTCTCTGACACTGGTCAATAGCTGGCACCTCATAAAGACTATAACAAGATGGAAACACTTTAGTAATTCTTCCTAGCTTTCAGTAAGTACTCTTATCAGTGATAAAAATGACATTTGTACATCTGCAGGAATTTATTCCTCCTCCCATTTCACTTGAGGATCTTAATTCATGCCCTGGGAGAGAAGTGAATAAATGCACAGCAAAGACAGATAAGCAGCAACTAGCTGATCTCCCTCCTTAAAGACACAAGTTATGCTGGCTGCTGGAGGTGACTAAACAGTGTAAGAAACAAAGTGAAGGGCACTGAACAGCTTACATATTCAACACTTTTATTTTAACTCTTTTCTGTATTTATTATGCTTTTAGAATGAGTTCACAGCCAAGTCCTAATTTAGTCTTTTATAGGGGGTACATGTTCCTGGGGAATGAGAAGTGATGACAGAGACCATAGTACCTTTTGAAAGCTATAGTCCAAAATGACAAACTCACAGGTTTCACTGACCCCACAGATATCTCAAACTCTTTTTTTAATCTGAAACTAATGTCTTTATTTCCCCTTAAGAACACAAGGAGTAGAAATTGAGAGTTTTAAAGAATATTTTATAGGCCAAAAGTGCCAATGACTTGTCTTACATAAGAGCAAAGAAAAAATGCATCATTCTTTTCTCAGTATTCTTTGGCCAGATCTGAGCTAAAAACAACTACCAGATCCTTCAAGTGTAAGAAAACATTGTAAAAAACAGAGCTTAAGACAAACAAAACCCTTCCACAACCATCTACAATGCGTTCAAACTGCATTAAAATGATAGGAAACGAGCAAAATCAGTACCTTAAAATTTAGATTTTAGATACATCACAGTATCTCACACCAAATGCTAGTTGTTTGAAAACGGGAACTTGATCCCATGTGGACAAAATAATTTCCACTTGCATCTAAAAAAATGTAATGACTTCTTCAGTTAGACAAACAGTGCCATTCTCTTCTTCTTGTATACTTTGAATTTTATACTCTTGTCAGTGATTATCAAATATAAAGTGAAAACCTCACATTCAGGGAAGGAAGCACCAAGTTCCTGCTTCTGCTTCATGAAACTTCCTAGTTTCCTAATGCAGCTGTGAAAGTACTGTTCTGCTGCACGTTGTAGAGAACACTCTACGATTTGTCACTGTAGAGACTGCTTGCTTTAGGGTACTTCAACACATACTGAGCCTTTAGCTTATTATGACAATTGTGCTGAGTTTAAAACTAAAGACTACATTTGAAATAAATCAGTAATAAATAAAAAACTGAAATCTAGCAGGAAATCAAACTCTCCAGAACAATTCAAGAGACAAAGTCTATCCAGTAATATGACAAGGACAAATTTTACAAAGATTTGCTTCAAATACCAACCTAATATTCAGCATTTCAGTCCTAAATCACAAAGTCTTACAGACAGGAAACCACTTGCTTCTGTCTCCAAAGGTGTCTTGTGGTCTGCCAGTGTAGTTTGTGGGTACACAAGTTAATTCTAATCTTTCATACCACTCCTGTAATCTAGGTAATACATATGAGCCTTGCAACATCCAACAGGAAGTAGAGACAGTTGCTGTGTAATATATATACAGTGACTGTATGCACAAAGGGGTAGTATATGAAACGAAGAACTTCAGCAGTTTGTAAATCATTTAATTTCATTCAGTTTGAATTAAAAGAAAAAAAAGTGGCAACTACAAAGTACCTCTTCCCCTTTCCTCCCTCCAGTAGTTCATTTCAACATGTGACAAACTAGTTTATGACCTCTTTTCCTTAAGTCCTCAAACTTTACTTAATGCAAAATGAGAGCAGCCCGACTTTCCACGGCTTTTACCCCTCCCTCCAAGTTAGCTGCTTACTTCCATACTACTTTCTGAAACAAGATGTTTTTTCCATAGAAGTTGCTTCCACCTAACAGTTTACTGTCTAATCAATAGGAACTTCTCTGAACTCCTAGCACCCAGTGTACAATCAGTATGCAAACCTGGTTAGAAAGTTTGCAATGCCTGTATACTCGTGTCATTTACATCATATCAGAGCAGATTAAACTGTGAGGTCAAGGGACAGAGTATAAATAGCATCATCAGATCTTACTTCTGTACCAAAGGCAGATGAGACAAGCTTACAGAATTTACTGACAAGTAACAAAGCTGCTTGACAGCAATTGCAGCCTGTCAGAGCTGTGCAGTATGCAACAGCATTTAAAAATCCTGGTAAATTACAGGTCAGGAACATTTAGATATAGATGTATATACACCTACATACATACATCTATATGTATATACACATACACACATCAATAAAGCAAATAAAATTAATTACTTGTGTTTATCTATTTAATACACAGTCTGCTCCAGAAGTAATGCCTCCCATTCTGTTATGTTGGGCAACGTCACAGGCACATGTTGGAGGTAGGGCAGTAGAGGTTGAGCCTCCCCTCCAATACTCCACTACATTCTGTTGTTGTGCAACAGATGGCAGCAGGAGGGCACTGAGAGAACAGTGTCTACAGATGAAACAAATTTGAGTCACTCAATTCCTCCATGTGGAAAAAAAACAGCACCCAGTGAAATTCACCAATGCTTGCTGAACATTTACAGACACTGAACAGTGGATGTGGTGTTTCAGCAGCAGTGATGGCATGGAAGACGAGCCATGTTCCAGATGATCATACACATTTGTAGAAGCATGGCATGCAAGCTCTTGTTCATCACTGGTGAAAATGCCTGGCTATTGGCAGTGCATATGGTGAACAATTGTGTTTTGTGGCTGAGAACTCACTCTAACAGCATTTTCTGTATCTCCATGGAAATAAATAGGAGGCATTACTTTCAGAGTGACTTACTACAGTTTTTAACTACTACCAGAGCTGAGTATTACAAGACACGTGGAAGCAGACTATAATGCAAAGGTGACCAGGCATTTTGCACATAGTGCAGTGATAAGACATTTCTTCATAGCACAGGATGAACTGAAATAAGCCAGTGAGCACAGAGGTTACATAAGCTATCTCAGTTTCAGGACCCTCTGATCTTTTTTACTAATAGTTACTACAACTATTAAAGCAAGGAAGTTTGAAGATAGAAATTTCATAGGTCAAAGGTTTTGGTAGTTAAAAACTGTATCTGTTAAACAGTATTAAGCCAGCATCCTTTTTCTTTTTAAGCAATCCCAGAACACTACCACAAAATTAGTTCTTATAATAGCAAACACCAAAAGAGATCTCTACAGACTCTTCTGCATATGCAAACAGTTTATTTTCTAATTGAATTAACCTTGAGACCTGTACCAAGTGAAAGCAAAGGAGCTTGTTTTCATGCTTCCATCTCTGAACACAGCAATGTATGATCAACTCATGAAATTAACAAGATGGAAGAAATGCCATCCTCAGTAAAATCAAATCACGTAACTAAGCAAATTTTAGTTTTCTTACTCATGAGGTTACAAATACAATATGCATATACAAGTATTCGTTTTATTGCATTTATTTCAAATAACTTAAATTGGCAAAATCAGGTAATGAAGCTCTAACAGCTACTAGAAAAGCCTGCTACACTTAAGAGATATGACAACAGGTACAAGATATCAGGCAGTATTTTACCACTTACCTCATGATGCAGCTCAGCTATCTGATCTTTCAGTTCTCTGATATACTGGTTAGAATCAGATTTATTAAGCTGCCCTTGAATCTTTCCTTCTTCTTTCTGTTTTGGTTAAAAAAAGAATCTTATTCAAATTGTTCACAAATATACAATCTTAAAATGCTATTTTAGTTGTCTGCTTTTTTTTTTTTTAATCATGCACAGATATTCACACACACTTCTCAGCATTTTTCACTTAGATGAAGTTTTCTGCAGGTATCCAGAGGCATTAGCAGTTCAGAACAAGTTGATCCACTAGGGAACACTACGTATGACAATTCTAGTTTTCTCTTCAGGAGTTTTAAAATATAGTGATATTTATTGTGCAGAAATACTACAAAGCAGAAGGGAAGAGAGGAATGTTCCCTAATGTCACTGCTGTAAGAGGTACAACAATAAATTGTACAAAAATAAACAGATGAAGAGGAGGTTTATTTGTCAAGTAAATGCAGTTATTAACTGCAGGTGACTTTATCTTGAAACATTAAGCCTCCAACGCTAACTTTCAGCTTATCTCTAATATGACCAAACCAAATCCTTGGTAGATCTCAAAAAAGAAAAAAAAATAATCTTTTTTTTTCCCCCCAGATAAATAATTTCTGAAGCAGGCACCAACTTTGGCTGAAATGTTATAAGTCTTTGCACCAATTGCAAATCACACACAGCCAATACAATACAGAAACCCAACTGTATGTGGAACAGGTGGCTTTCTAACAGTAGCTGAATTCCTACTCGAAGAAAGCAAACAATGCATTTCAACAAGCAAGCTGAAAGTAATTTGCAAACAGAATTTCAGAGAATGAGAAATGTCAACTACTCTTCAAAAGACAAAAAGCTTTAACCGAGAGCTTTCCCTGAAACGCCACCAGGACACAACATGTGCCAGGAAGTTGGTAGCAGTGCACTGCCTTCCAAACCATTTGACTACACAATGAGAAGAGCCCTGAGTAGTGTCAACTATTTCAAAGATATCTCTCTTTAAAAGCTGTTTTTTTATTGCATCAGAGTACACATCACAAACTTACTTTGTGATATTTACTATTAACTCACATAAATTACAATGGGATAGTAGTGCATTACACCACATTGAATTCAGTTCCAAGTCAATCTATGGCTCAAATTCACACACACCAAGTGAGAAACATCATTATTTTTCTTGTACTAAAGAGATTTGATGTATATAAAACTCATCTCCCTTTACAAGGATAACTATTAGTTAGTATTCAAAGTTACAAACAGAAGGAACATAACTTACAGAGCAAAAGTAATACAGTTTACATTAATCTGAAGAAAAAGCTTCACCGATGCTAAGAATTTAGACAAGGATGATTTCATCTCTTGTCACAGCAGGAGCACTTGGAAGGAACTTTCATGTAAGTCCTTCACTTGAAACAGAATTTTCCATTTTAGCATGTTGTTCCTTTGATTCCAAGTTACTATGTAACCACAAAGCAAGGTGTCAGAAATGGAAAGCCAGCTTCTTACACCAAATATAAGACAGGTGCCACAGCTTTTTTAGAGTAAACATCTGAATGGAGTGCATAAGAGGACACGATGCAGGCCTTTTCCAAGCTGTTATGATATGCTAACAATAAATTCAATAAGATTTACTCAAATTCAGCACTGCACAAATAGCTGAAAGCTGCTACTACATACCATATACAGTATACATTACTGGGAATAATATATCATTAAACTTAAATGTTTTTTTATTCTAAATAACACCATAAAGTTAACATGTATCACAGAACAATTTAACATTAAGTTTGCTCATGGAAGAACAGTCTACCTCCAGTCAGCTTAAACTGAATGTCAGTACGAGCCTGGCTTGCAGGGTCCTCGTCACTAATAAAGGTCAAAGACAGTTTCAGTTTTCCTTTCAGAACTTACAGATTTTGTAGAGGTGACAGTTCATCAAAATGTATTTAGCATAGGAACCTTGCAACGTGATTTTCTACAACACATTTTTAAAAGAAAACTTCTGCTGCAACCTCCTCTTGCAACATTGAGAACACTAGAGGTCAGAAGACGATCCTTTTATCTAGCTGCAAACAATTTAGAAAACCACAAGTATTTCCAACAAACTGTTTGTGTCCATGTTCTATAAGCTACAGAGCCTATTTTCAATGGGTAAATTGGAAGGGTGCCACACATTTTAGGCAACATATCAGAATCTTCTTCATAGCTGCTATTCATTTCTCAGAGCAGCAAGGATGTATTTTTTTACTTATGTTATTTTTCCTTCCAAGTTGTTTATGTCATTTCTTTTTTAAAAGGTACTCATGCAGGTGCACAAGCAAACCACTGGAAAACATGCAGTTATCACATGTTCTAGAATTAAAATATTTTTCAGTTTTTACAACAATATCATTTGTTCTATAAATCAGATAAGCAGACAGCTGAAATCGTACACCTGTCAGATAAAAGCAATTAAAAATATTTGTGAATATTTCTGTTCATCTGACAGTGTACAAGCCTTGTTACCCTCCATTATTTAGAACTTTAAGAGACTGATGTTTCTCTTCAATACAAAACTGTTTCTCTTTCCAGACATTTTATATTTATATTGAGTTCTTATTACTTGCTAGCAATTTTCAGCTTCTAATAAGTATTCGTTAATCAAAGGCAAATTTCAATTTTCATTGTAACATCCTTTAACACTAGTTTTTCATTGTGACAGTTGACAGGAGATCAAAATCTGATGACAGGGAGCTTTCAGTATGTGCAGTCCCTTTTAATATTCCAGAAAGCAATAGGAACGTCTTTCCCTACTATTATTTTTCTGATATGTCACAAACACAGAATACTTTCTCCTAAGAGTTCTGTAGTTCTAGATCTCATTCTCAACCTACACCAGGTAATACATACAACAGTATCTTGTACTTCCTGACTACCATTAAAATAAAAAAAAAAAAAAGAACGAAGTTTTATTAATCAAGGGATCTTGGTAATGACCTGACAGTCTCTTTTCAATGACCACTGTCATTGTGCACATATCTTTAAATAGCAAAAATCTCCACTACAGTAGTATGAACCCCAAATTCTGTCCTCCTGCAGGTTAGATTCCCTCCTGTGCATTATAATTCTAGATTACATTAGATACACTTGGGCACTAATTTTTATGCCATCATGACTACTTAAAAGTGCATACAATAAGCATACTGATGCTAGACACGTTTCTCTCACACAAGAAAACCACACATGGGATTTTAAGTTCATGCTTAACTTAGTGGCTTATAAAGAAAGGTTTAGCAACTTCAGCTTGGCTTTTTCAGTCTCAAATATGACACTATATTACATAGATAAAATTTTAACTCTTCAAACTGATCTAGCCATGTGGCATAGGGCAATCTGATAGAGCTCCTTGTTCTCAGTTCTACATGTGAATTAAATTTGCCTTGAAAAGAGGGACAGGGAATTAGTTAGGCTGCAAGTGACATGGAAGTGGGAAAGAAAGCGAGAAGTGAAAACAATAACAAGCACTGAAGAGAATTTGAAACAATTCAATACTTCAGGCAGCAATACTGGTGCACTCTTAATGATTACATCCTCATCACATTATCTGCCAGGATATGGCTGTTGCAATTAGTTCACTAGAAAGCAGCTATTTTAAGAATAACTTGAGATGGGGAACAGAGGATCACCTGCCCAAAAGACAGTGGTCCAAGCGCAGAAGATCCGAGCCTACAATCAGAACAGTCTTGATGCATTTCTTCTTAGTCAATCCTATTACTATTGCTAGTTTCACGTTTCAAGTGTTGAGCCATGCCGATGTGCTGGAAGATGTGTGTTTTTAGTATGGATTGATCTGGCAAGTCTTCCACAGAAAAAAGATGAAGAAAATCCTAATCTCATCAATCTTAAATAGTAAGAGTGCTCAAGCACAAAGGAAATAAAATTTATCCTGTGTAAAACCTCCTAGAAAAAAAAAGAAAAAGGGAAGCTAACTGCTCTACTCATGGTGTTCCTTTATTCTAAATCCGGTTTTGACTTTTTTTAGTTAAGAAAAGGTGTACCAACAACAAAGTTATCTGTTTTCATTAAATCACATTTCCATATGCTTTGACTTCCTCATTTGCTAGATGGTCCCACTGACAGAAAAAATAAGGTGCTTTTATGAGTTATTGAATGCTTCCTGTTGTACCATTTAGCTCAGTAGTAACCAAGCGTTTAACTCAGCTGGTTTTATGTTGTGCTTCAGCAGTTTTGTATTCCTGAATAAAACTATCAGAAAACTGGACTGGCTCAAAAATGAATGTTAAATTTTAAATGGTATCTTAATGTGTACTTAAGGTATGCATATCACACCTTTTAAAGTGTTAAAGGAGTTTAAAGATCTAATATTGTATGCATAGGATGTGGTTAATGTTCCTTTGTTGTCTTTTTTTTTTTTTAATAGAGCTAGAACAATTGCAGAAAATCTGTGGTATTTGGAGAGGTCACAATACAAAGATGCCTGGCCTCCTGACAACTAATAGACATTTTAAGTTCGAAATAACGTACTTAAAGAAACTAGATAACATCAATAAGCAAAAAGGGTTAAGAAATTGAAATAGTGCAGGAATTAAAGTTAGGCAAATGTAGAATCAAGGACTTTTTGTTTAAAAACCCCCATCACAAGTAAATCAATCTCTACATGAATTTCTACAGTATACAGTTTCTTCATATTGGCAACACTGCAGTGCCCATCTCCCCTTCTCAGTAAGGATCTTAGAAATGTAGTACTAGTTGGTGCTGTGTCATTCAAAAGCCGTTATTTCAATTTTGGCCTCTCCTTGTCTTACTGTATCTTCAAATGGACCAGCTCCCCCAGCACTGGCGCAGTCACAAGTCTCTGTACCAGGGGGAAAAAAGCCAAAACCCAGTGGGCAGGTATCAGCTCTGCTAAGAAAAAAAGTAGCTGTAACAGATGAAGCAGCCACATGCAGTCCAAACTGACTTGAGAGGCTACATAAGGAGGGAGTAGCACAGGCAGTGGAAGGGCAGGAAATGAGCCCTGAAGACTAAAAAAGTAACTGCTAAAATATTTAAGCACCTTCAGTTGTGGGAGTTCTCACCTCCCT